CCTCCCCCCCAAAAAAAAGAAAGGAATTTCTGTTTGCAATTTACTTGGTGAGGGGTCTTATTGTGTTGCTGTCTTAAGTTGCTGGCCTCTTATTTTATACCTGTCAAAAATGAGCTATACTAGTTTTCTGTTGCGTGCTTTATTCAAAGCATAGAATCTCTTTGACCATTTCTTTAACAATTTTCTGACAGGCAGCAAGTTTTGGAGGTTCTAACATTGATCCAACAGCTTGGGAAGATAAAAAGTGCAAAGGAGAATCAAGATTCCCTGCTCAGGTAAAGATATGGATCCACAATTTATTTTTATTTCATAAAAAATGGAACAACAATTATTTATTTCTATAGGTATTTGATGCATCTGTATTGATATCATGCATTTGCACTTAGGTGAGGACCTGTGTTAGGAAAATCTGTAAGCCTTTGGAGGAAGATGCTTTTAGACCAGTTTTGCATCACTATGATGGTCCCAAGTTCCGTCTTGAGCTCTCCATACCTGAGGTAATATGAGAAATGTTGTCATGGATTGTTTCCCCTGCACGTGACAGTTATTGTAAGGTTGAAAATTGGTTATCTAAAACCTTATTTGTTATGCAGACTTTGGACTTGCTAGACCTCTGCGAAAAAGCTGGTGTCTAGGAATGCTGAAGTAATGGACTAATTGGCATAAAGAAATTGTAGCAGTGTATGTGAATGTTATAGGTTGTGTTGTGCTTGTCAGTGGTGTGCTTTCCGCAGATTTTCCAAAGCGCAAGCTTCGGTGGTAAGTCTGAAGGGACTTAGTTGTAGGATTGTCTTTTGTAGCCAAATAAGTGTAATGGTTCTCTGTGGAGATGTTTGCAAAGTAGCTTCACAAATCTTGTACTAAGCTTGAGAAGTAATTATGATTGTGTAATGAGTAAAGATCGTATGTATTTCTATTTCTGCATGGAACTCTGCGTAATCCAATTTGTGCAGTGAATTCTGAACTACCTGTATTTCTGTCTTTGCTGGCTGCAATTGTTTTTGCCAGATCGATTTTGATCCGCCAAGCTCTAAGAGTATTCGATTGATGGTGAAGGGCAGTTGGCCTAAAAAGTTTCTCAATTACTCTAACTTCTGGCTCGGAGGAGAAAATGATATTCTGAAAGTAGAAAGAGAACATGCCAATCACTTTGTTTAAAGAAAGAACAAATAGTTTTATGCATGCAGGCTGGGATTATTATACCTTCTCATGATGCATAAACGGTGTATAAGGGTTTTGCCAGTGCATTGCAATATTCAGTAACAGATAATTTGAAAGTGGACAATAGTTTTCTTTTCATAACAAATTAGAAAGGCTTTATTCAATTTGAATTGGAGAAAACAACAGTATCAACTTCAAAGAACGTTGGTCTAATTGTCGAGATAAACGTTACGTTTAGTAAATTTGTGTTTTTAAATGCATAAGAGGCAGGGCGTAAAATTTATGTGATCTCTTCTCATAATTATACTAGTACCACTTATATCTTTAAAAATAACACACACACACACACATATATATATATATATATATATATATATATATATATATATATATATATATATATATATATATATATTCAAAAATAATAAAAAAGGTACTAAAAGGAAAGAAAATTTCATTGTAAGAAAATTTGTTTACCGTTTTTGTGTAATAACAGATAAATTGAGATATTTAATTAAGCAGCGGATATTTGTTTAACAAGAGTCAAAGTCAAGGGACAATGAAATGGCGGGGAATAGTTACCAAGAGTACGGCTGTGGTCAGAAACTAAACTACGCTTCCATAAAAAGAACAAAATATTGCGTGTGGCGACTTTAATTAAACCAATTAAAGGCCTGGATTAGATAGTAGAGAGCCAAAGAGCAGAATTCAGACGCTAGCAAATCCAATCCAGGACCTCCAATGGCTTCCGTTCCTCTTCCTATGGCACCATTAACGCTAAACTTATCTGCTGCAAAAGCATCTCTTTTCATTAATTCTTCCTCTAACAATCCTCCTATCAATTCGCTTTGTACTGTTGGATTGGACAAGTTGGGGACGAATCCAAAAAGGTTGAGGTCTTTTGTGTGTCGAGCTGCTTCAGTAACTTTTCGTGATTTGGACGCCGATGATTTTAGACATCCTCTTGACAGACAGGTAAAATGCAGACTATGTTATCGGTACAGTTGTTTCTGCTTCTGTCTTCCTATAATTAAAAAAAAGAAGCAAATTTATTCCGTTTTAGCAAAAAAATAGGTTGATTTTGGTCTTTTGATGTTTAATTCTTATGTTGCTCAGAATACGTTGCTTTTGAGAGCAATACCTGGTCTCAACGACATTGGAAAAGCTTTACTTGGTAAGTGCTTTTGTTTACGAACCATGGTTGTTGCAGTTATGTAAATCGCCTTGTCTTAAAACATACCACTTATATTTATTTATTTTAACTCTACAAAATGTCAAATGTAAGCTTTGGACCACGTAGGTGAAACATTTTTATGGTGAAGGTGAAACATAGGCGGATCTAAGATTTGACATTTATGGTTCCTACAACAATAATAATTGGTTTTACAGTCAAATAGTTAGAAATATTTAATGAATTTCTTAATATATATACATGGTCTGGGCAAAAGCTACTTGGTTCACGTGAAACCGTAACCAATACTATAACCGTAACCTTGCTTTATGTGATAAATGTTGAATTTTGTAAGCCATCTCAGTTAGAAGCTTGAAATGTTAGGGATATCACAGTATTATTTATATAGTTAAAGTCTGCAACACTTTAGAGAGATGACACTTTTATTTATTTATTCAAAGTATGCAACAATGGGGAACCCTTCAGGTACTCTATATATAACATCTATAAACCAATAAGGTGAAAAGGAAAATATCTGCAATGAATACTTGGTTGCGTGGAAGTTCACCTGGAAAAAAGTGCCTTACTATCCTGTCATCTTGACATAGCATGGAAATTGGGGAGTTATTTAAGTAATAATGAGTTTTTATGTTAAGGCTAATTGCTTTTTCTTTTCGTGACAAATGGTTGAAGTCAATCTGTATATCTGATCTGAAGATGCTATCACAGGGAGTGTTTCGGAACAAGTTATGCTTCTGGAGAACATAGGGACATCAGTTCTTGTTTCTGAGAATCAGGTCATTCATTTTTCAGTTTAGACCTCTATGTGATAATGACTTAATCCACGTTGCTGTTAGATCTTTTCATAGCACTTCTTCCTATGCTCTATGGACGCTTACTTGTGTAGTAGAATCATCTCTCGAAATCACATAAAATTGTCAACTTCCGGCCTTGTCGATGGTTGTTTACCTTTTAATAGTCTCAATAACTTGTTTCTACAGCCTTCTCATATGCTGATTGACATCCCTAATTATGTTTATGGAGCAGATTATTCTTTAATTCTCATATGCTTGTAATTGGTTTTTCTAGAAAGGTTTTGATAGTCATACGACATCAGCTTAACAGTTGCTCACATGCTTCATAAGTAAATGGATTACATCTTTGAGGAGTAAAACTTTCTTCCTTCCAGATTTATCTTCTATTCGGATTTCCTTGTCTTAATCATCACATTCAGCAACTCTGAATTCTTCTTTGAGCTTGTATTGACTACTATGAAATAGCTTCTTACGTTTATTAGTATGTGGACTGGGACCTCGTGCTGGTTCCAACGTACTTTGTCGTTAAAGATTAAGAGGTCACAGAAAATTTCTCTCATCTAACTGATTTGGCATGTCTTTCAGCTGCCTGAACTTCATCGCTTAATGGTTGAGGCTGCTAGAATACTCAATATTGAGGCTCCTGACTTATATGTACGTCAAAGTCCTGTACCCAATGCATATACTCTGGCTATCAGTGGTAAAAAGCCTTTTGTAGTTGTTCATACAAGCCTTGTGGAGCTGCTGAGTCGAAAGGAGTTGCAGGTCTTGATTCTTTCTTTAACTTAGATTAACTTTCAGATCCGGTGCTGTTAGTTTCTGTTCTTGTGGTTCTTGTATGCATTTTCAACGGAAGGCAGGTATCAGTTGAACTACTGCAAAAGAGTCTAAGATTGCTTGATCTTTTCGTTAGTATATCCTTATGACAGGTTTAAGAATTATTTGAAAATCTTAATGTACTTCGATTTGTCTTCCATTTTTTCCTATTTCATGCATTAAATCTGTTGAAGTATGTAACCATCTCATCTAAAAGCTTAAATTGTTAGAGAGAGCATACTTTTATTTACTTAATTATGTCTTGAACAAAATCATCCCAACATTTTTGGCTAACTCGAATTCTCAAGCTCAGGATGTGATTCTTTCTCTTTTGACATCCATGGTACCTTAATTTTCTAATCAAGTAAACTGGGATGTGATTCTTTCACTTTTCTCTTCTGTGGTCCCTTATGTTTCTTGTCTATTTCGACTTATAACTTTTGTAGCGTATGTTTAATTTGCCTCTTTTATGTCCTTTGTTGTTTTTAATTCCAGGCAGTCTTGGCTCATGAGTTAGGTCATCTCAAATGTGATCATGGTGTGTGGTTGACATTTGCAAATATTCTCACTCTTGGTGCCTACACTGTTCCTGGTATGACTTACATTCTACTTTGCATAACACAGGAAATTGTGAGACGAACACAACAGTAACAGAGAATCCAGCCATTTCCGGTTAATAAACCCTCAAAAGGGCTAGGATATAGAAGTTAAACAATAGATAACATAGGCGACTTTTGTAAGTTAACCATGTTAAATATCAGCTAGTAGTAATTGTTACTATATTCATATCACATAATTCTTATGGAAGTGCTTCAACATGTATGGGTTTAGAACTGATCTCTTTACATATTAATTTGTATATTTTTACTGGATGTCCGTGAAGGGGGACTATATCATATATACCAAAATGTAAAGTTATATATGTCAGGTAAGTGTTGTGCAAAGCTTTTCTCTAACTTGTTTGGTACGTGGACATATTACATGAAGCGTCCTTATGCTTTTCTATTTAAAAACATCTTCTGTTTGACAGATTCATAGTTTTTATCAATAACCTGATAATGTCATCTCTAACCCTGGAGAACAAAAAGATCGTTGCTCTGAATTGATGATTCAAAACTAGAAAACTTGTTCATAACATTTGTTTGTTAGATTTTGTTTGCCCAAAATTATATTCTATGGGATGTTTGGGTAAGGTTCAAAATGGATTTCATCTTAATGCTGGTATAATATAATATTCAAACTTGAAGCTGCTTGAGTGTGAATCAATTGTTTCTTAGCTGCCAGCATGTGTTATATGGGATTATAATTAAGTAGCTGCGTGCAAAGAGGGGCTTATTTCAGTTACAAATGATTTTGAATTTTTTTCCACCCACAGGTATTGGTGGTTTGATTGCTCAGAGGCTGGAAGAACAGCTCTTCCGCTGGCTTCGAGCAGCAGAACTCACTTGTGATCGTGCAGCACTTCTTGTTGCTCAAGATCCAAAGGTAGAGGAAACTCAAACAGTCAATTCTCATTTTAGGGCATTAACCACATTAGAAAATCTTATCCATGATTTTCCTTTCTTTTCATGCTCCCACAAGAGGTGGTCGTTTCAGTACTAATGAAACTAGCTGGCGGCTGCCCATCTCTGTCGGATCAACTGAATGTGGATGCATTCTTAGAGCAAGCTCGCTCTTACGAAAAAGCATCATCAAGCCCAGTTGGGTGGTATATTAGGTACGTATAGCTATCTTGTATCTTGAGATAGGTCGGCTGCAATTTTCTTATTTTCTTAAACTCTTTTAAGTTCTTCAACATGCTTTCTCTTCAGAAATGCTCAAACAAGGCAACTTTCACATCCACTCCCTGTTTTACGTGCACGTGAGATTGATGAATGGTCGAGAAGTCAAGAGTATAGGTCTCTTCTTAAGCGTGCAATACAGACTGTGTGAAATGTTTAGCACTACGTGAGGATGAACGCCAAAACTGAATACATGTAAATATCCAATACAGGTACATATGGTTTACTCTTCTATGCACTAATGTCTAGGAATTGGAGCTTTTTGTAAATGTTTTAGTACTACATATTCTTCCATTTTGGATTGGGTTAGAGGGGTTGTTACTAAAGGTATGAGGAGCATTTACTTTGGCTAGGTCTGTATTAATGCTGCTAGCTGAGCAGGATGCCATTTGAGAAAGTCCTGTGGATATAAACCAGGAAAAAGTGCTTATTGTGTATGGTTTACAGTAGTGGCAGATACTCGAGGGGTTCCACAGGTACTTACGACTATCAGCTCGAACCAACAACAACAACATACCCAGTGTAGTTCCACAAGTGGGGTCTGGGGAGGGTAGAGTGTACGCAGGCTTATCCCTACATTTAAAAAGGCAGACTATCAGCTCAAACCCCATGTATATGTATCTGAAAATCAAGTATACATTAAGTTAAATGTGTATTTCAGCGACTCTCATCTCAAAACTATAGTATCAAAATTTTAAAAGCCACCACTATTTTACAAGCCGTTATTTCTACCAAATCCATCGATGAGATTTTCTATCTCTTTTCATCCTCCTCATTACTATATTTATTAAAAGATGACAGAAAGGTTTCCTGCCTGTCAATGGCAGTTAATGAGAATTGGTCTTATATGGCTTGCGACCTTTAATTTTTCTTTGCTTTGTAAGTCATTGTTTAACAAGGTTCGTGTAGTCTCTTTTGAGCATCTTCGTCCTAACATACAATCTTGCAGGATTATAGGGTACAAGTGCGGCTGCTCAGGCCGCAGATTTTACGTGGAATATAAACCCACTTCAGCAGTTGATGACTTGATATCTACCTACCATTGTAGTTTCAGTTGTCGAAGTACTAGCTTTGAGTATATTTCCTTGGTCAATATAATGTAAAAGAGGTATGGTCTGAATTTGTATAGTCATTAACTATGTGTATATCATCAATAGCTCTGTACATTCAAATACAAAGAAACTTTGGTTTGATGATGGTCATCAACGAGTAGAACTGACCGGCAACCACGATTGTCCTGCGTTTTAGCTCAGGCTATTGCACGATCTTGAAAGATCTCTTGGAAAGGAACTTCCACCGATGTCTGGCTATCTAGAAGTAGTATTTTAGTACATTTAGCATCAGATACTTTTGCACATCATAGAATAAAGAACAATAGTATTGCTACTATCATACTTTTCATTATAAAGCATCCAGATGTCCAATGCTCTGTTACCTATAGCAACCTAAAAGATAAGAACATTGAAACGATAGAGACCAAGCAGAAAGACCGGGGAGATGCTTGAAGAGCCAAAAGATTATTTCTTGCTACACATGAAATCATGAATTCTTCTCCCTGCCCCAAACAACCCCTACATGAGGAATGCTCTTATGCCTTCGAAAGAATTCCAGAACAGGGGCTGCTCCTTTCTCCTGTTCTGTTCCTTGTAGTTTGCTTCAGTTGAATATGAGCTTCAACATTGACTTCTTCTTTTGCTCGGTTATTCAGTGGGGTCTCTTTTGTTTTTTCCCCGATTTCTTCTTCTTGGTGCTAGCTCCTCTGCCGCGTTTAAAGACAGCTAGAATCTCAATACTGCATCCAGTCAGATTAATTTCTTTAAAATGATCAGTTATGAAGCTATGCCCCACAAACATAAAAGATCACTGAAGCAGTCAAAAGAATGAAGGTTCAAGCAAAAGCATTTGAGCATCACATACCAACCAAGCAAGGGACAAAGATCTTGAAGAACAGATAAGAATATGCATAAGGAAAAAATAAGATGTTAGAAAAAAGAGGGGACATTTTATATTAACAAGAATCATCTTATGACCAAAACAGAGGAAATTTTCTTTCTATTCAGTTTCTTTAGAATGTGAGCATCTACAAACCCTGCCCCTCCAACCTCTTGGTCCTCTGCAATGCCTATTTCATTCCCTTGCTATCTCCAATGGGATTGGTGAGTTCCAGTTGAAAGCAATATTTTCTCAACAATCAGGGAACACTAATGCACAATCTCAAATGTAGAAATGTCCTTATTACAGTCATACTTAAAAATTAGTAAGTCCCTTCAACACATCTAACAAACATCAAGTAGCAATTTCCACATAGAAGTGCTATTCATTGGCATGTCTGAGTATTTGTGAGTGGTGATTCCTTGGATCATAAACTAGGTGATAATGGAAAGGAAAAGAACTGAAAAAAGAAAATGTATAAGAAAGAAATATCATCTCTCCCATATAGATGTTCCTATACAGAAATGCCAAGAATCTTCCATCCTCTTCTCCATAGTGGCACAGGCATAAAGCCTTTTCATTTAGTTTCTCCCCTTATTGGAACACTATACTGGAAGACCATTCGGAAATTTTTGTGCAACACACAGTTTCTTCCTTCAAGCAAATGTGTTTATTATGCATATACATGAATGAAATAATAAATAATACTTGGTAGTTTTTTGTAATCATGTTCGATGAAATTTAATTTTAGTTTGACACAGATGCAAGTTTAAATTTGTTTGTAGGATTACATGAATTACAAGAGGGAAAGGCAAAACCTTTGTGTTCCAGGAAAGAAATTAAAGCCATGGGCTTTATGCAAATGCCATTCCTTACTAGCTAGCAGTGACAAGCAATCCTGCATGAAAAAGGACCTATAATCAGCTTCAAGATGACATAGTTCAGTGCCCAAAGTTGAATTGCATTTTATGAACCAAAAACTTGATGAAATTGAATGGTAGTTCAAATGAATTGTATTAAGACACAGAGATCAAAGAGCTGCATCTCAATCTAATATGGATTTGAAGGAAGGCCACATACCTCTTTAAAACTTTCCCAACCACAGCTAATATAGATAAGAATCTGAGGCAATGATTGATCTTCCTCATGTACAGTTGTGTTTTCAATTTGAATTGCAGCTTCTCTGGCACGCAGGACCCACGGTCTCTTCTCGTCTCTTACCTTTTCAGGTCTACCATAACAAATAAAACATAAGTGGATGACAGGAACAGCATTGAATGCTGTAGCACATCAATGATCGTGAATTTTCATAACAATATAGCAACCCATTTACTTCCCAGAATTTCCTTTTACTCTACCTTTTAGATGAATTGGTTCTCAGTTCCAATGCTGAGATGTGCCGTAGTTCCTTCACCAAGGACGGGTCCAGCCCTTTCCTCGGAGGGTCAACCACAACAACATCCGATCCCAAGAGCCATGAAGTTGGTTCCTATGCAAGTTGTTACTTGAAGTGAAAACTTATGCAACAACAAAATCATATAGAGCTATACAGCATACCAAGAGAGTTCTAGGGTCCGGAAAAGAAGATTAAAACAAGTTGAATCCATACGGATAAAGCAAAGTTTCCACCAGTAGAGTTTCTCTCCGGAACTAAATTAAGAGGTCAAAGAGATATAACATAATGGTAATTATGATGAAGCAAATAAATGACCAATACACTATATGATGACATCTAAATCACATGCAAGACCCCGAGGATACTGATAAGAGCTATTAGAACAAGAAACCCCCCAAGGAGGTGTTTTCTATCTCCACATCACAACAAAAACTTTTTTTAAAAAAATCTTTTTTATTATTCTTAGCGGAGGAGAAGGGGAAATAGGGAGGAGATTACAAGGTGGAGAATCGACCCAAGGGACCTCCCCCCCNTTCTCAACACTGATTAACACTAAGAACCAAATGCTTTGATAACTCCTTTATCAGGAAGTCTCCAAGAGACTCAGCTTCCTCTAAAATTTAAACAATTTAAGGAGATTTAATAATTATTCCAAATGATCTGTTACTTTAACAGGGGAGCATCCTGTACCTCCCAGGGAATACATCCCATGCTATCAACCTTTATGCCACAAAACTGTAGATCAGAACACTCAGTGCAGCAATTGCTCTCCTTTACCATCATAGATGATGCAAAATTTTCCATTAAATGGGTGCCATGCCAGCTTATAAATAGGCGTACCTCTATTTATCTTACACTAAACTGATCAAGCTATTACATGTTCTGCCCACCTAAAAATAATATGTAGCCTACATTTCCAGGTGATTTTGAATTCTTAATCTTATACTGTTTAAGAATAAACTGTTTAATTAACTGCAGACATTCGTGAAGAACTGACCTCCTTCCCGATTCCCTAGCTTTACAGAGTAAATCAATACCTCTCCATATATTGTTGCTGCTTTTTTTAAACTTCAAACAGAGGGAACAAAGAAATAAACATACACACACATGTACTGCCAAAGTCACATAATTATTACTTGGGTGTGGGTTATAGCAATGCCCACACTTCATTACACAGTATCAAAATGAGATGGAATATCTATAAGTATGTTTTGTTCTGTTAATATTTTAAGGCAATTAGGGCTTACATGTTACTCCACTGTGACTAAACTCATTGTTAGATAATGAATTGAGACATAATCTAAAGCAGTATACATAGCTAGCATAATTATAGGGATTCACAGCAGATTTACAGGATTTCCTTTATTATTCTTTCCATAGTTAGGGCTCTATGTACTTGTATATATACTTGTTACTTCTTGAATACAAGATAAGAGAGATTGCTCTATTGTCTCTGTACTTTATACTTTACATGGTATCCGAGCCTATTGGCTCGATCGTTTGACCAGTCATCTCCGGCGACTGGGTGTGAAGAAAGTGGATGTCACGCGCCACCTGTAGCTCCGGTCTGTTCATCACGCGCCGGTGCGTGAAGGTGCATGCACTGTCAGCTTTGCTTTTTGTTTCTGTTTTGTTCTCCATCCTCGTCTTCTCTTTTCCGGCGGCTTCTGTTACTTGTCTGGTTAGCCGAACTTGCTGGAAGTAGATCTTCGAGTCACAACCTGTTTGGTTCGCTTCTTGGGTTGTTTCAGGTTTCACAATACTGTTTTACTTTGTAAGTATCTCATATTTGATTTCTTTTGCTTCTGTGGCTGTTGGACTCTTGTTTGGGAGTTGGGCTGTTTTATTATTTGTGGGGATAGCTATTGCTTTCTTGGTTTAGCCGATTGGTGTTGGTATTATTTATTTGGGGGTCATCCTTTGCTTAATTGCTGGTTGTCTGGAATTGATCATTATCTTGGGTTGGTTTAAACTCTGATTTGGTTTCTCTGGTGCTTGAAACACTGAAAATATTTGTCTCCAACTCGGTCAGTATCAGATTTGCAAGAAGTTGCATTCGGTCGAACTTCTTAAAACTCATATTGCTTACTGATTTTGTTTGGATCTTTACTAATCACATTTGGGACCTCAGACTTGGTTTGAGATATTTTTATTGGTGCAACTTCAGGGGTATATTTAATAGTTGAGGAATTTTGCTAGTTCCTCTGTCAATAATTACGCTCAATTGGTATTTCTTCACATAGAACTTTTGTTGGGTTCTCTATCATCTGTTTTGATACTTTGAGAATTTTATTGGTTTAAAAAAAAAAAGAATGGCTACCAATAGTAAACAAGGAGAAAATAATGCTACAGCTCCTGGTCCAACAATTTTGGTTTCGGATGAGTTCATGAAATTCCATCAATATCACAAATCAATTAAGTTATCTTCTTCAGTTGCTTTTGCTGGGTCAGATAAAACATGTCTTTTCACCTCTTCAAATAAATGGGCGATTGATTCAGGTGCCAATGGCACCAAATCACATGACGGGCAATCCAAATATTTTTTCTAGCTTTCGATCACACAAAGCACCCTCTCCGGTTACTGATGGGTCAACTTGTAGTAGTGTTGGATCTGGGATTGTTGAACCAACTTCCTCTATTACCCTGTCATCTGTATTATGTCTACCAAACTTGGCCTTCAATTTGATTTCTGTTAGTAAAATCACCAAAGACCTTATTGTTGTGTTGCGTTCTTTCCCGATCATTGTTTGTTTTTTGATCTTACAACGAAGCAGGTTATTAGTAAAGGATATTTATCTGGTGATCTCTATATTCATGATGAATGGGAGCCACGACCTATTGCATGCTCCATTGTTGTGTCTCCTTTTGAAGCACATTATCAGTTGGGACATCCCTCTCTACCTTTGTTGAAGAAGTTGTGTCCTCAGTTTCCGAATATTTCATTATTGGATTGTGAGTCATGTCGATTTGCAAAACACCATCGCATCTCGTTAAGTCCAAGGGTTAATAAGCGAGCTGAGTCAGCTTTTGATTTAGTCCATTCTGATGTTTGGGGACCATGTCCGGTTGTTTCTAAAACTGGGTATAAGTATTTTGTCACTTTTGTAGATGATTTTTCTCGAATGACTTGGATTTACTTTATGAAGAGCCGCTTTGAAGTGTTTACTCACTTTTCTGCCTTTTGTGCTGAAGTCAAAACTCAATTCAATGCTTCGGTACGTACTCTAAGGAGTGATAACGCTAAAGAATACATGTCATAGTTATTTTAGTCCTACATGAGACAACATAGTATGTTACATCAGTCTTCATGTGTTGATACACCCTCTCAAAATGGAGTTGCTGAGAGGAAGAATGGCATCTACTTGAGACAGCTCGAGCACTTCTGTTCCAAATGAAGGTGCCTAAACACTTCTGGGTTGATGCAGTTTCTACGGCTTGTTTTCTGATTAATCGGATGCCATCTACTGTGCTCGGTGGTAATGTGCCTTGTAGTGTTCTTTTTCCGAACAAGTCATTATTTCGGGTGGAACGTGGAAGCACATGTTATGTTCGAGATGTTCGACCATCTCTTAACAAGTTGGATCCCAAGGAATTGAAGTGTATTTTCTTGCGCTATTCTCGCCTTCAGAATGGGTATCGTTGTTATTCTACTGAGCTTGGCAAATATTTAGTGTCAACTGATGTGGTATTTTCAGAGACTACACCATTCTTCTATGCACCTCCCGTTTCTACTAGCCAGGGGGAGGAAGATGAGTGGCTAGTATATCAAGTTGCCCATACTTTGATAGAACAATCAGAAGATACTCTTCCATCTCCCAGTTCTGTTGTTGAGCATGAATCGACTACTGCGCCTTCAGTACCTGCTCCAACTGTGTTAGCAAAATCTCCAATTGTTCAAATTTATTCGCGGAGGTGAGAGACAAATGATACATGTCCCGCACTAGTTCCTTCATCATCTGGTCCTCCTTTGCCTGATCCTCCAGATAACCTTGACCTTCTTATTGCTCTTCGTAAAGGTACACGTACTTGCAAATAGACATATTCTGTTGCTAACTTTGTTTCCTATGACCACTTATCCTCTACGTCTAGATCTATGATTGCTTCTCTAGACTCCATCTCCGTACCCAAAACAGTGAATGAGGCTTTGAATCATCCCGGATGGTCTGAGGCAATGCTTGAGGAAATACATGCTTCAGAGGATAACCACACATGGGATTTGGTAGATTTACCAAAGGGAAAGAAACCAGTGGGATGCAAGTGGGTCTCTACAGTTAAAGTTGATCCAGATGGTTATGTGGCAAGACTTAAGGCCAGACTTGTGGCTAAAGGATGTGCTCAAACTTCTAGGGTGGATTATTCTGACACCTTCTCCCCGATTGCCAAACTCAGTTCTGTCCGCTTATTTATTTCTCTAGCTGCGTCCGAGAATTGGCCTTTACATCAGTTGGATATCAAGAATGCGTTCCTTCACGGTGATCTTCAAGAGGAAGTGTATATGGAGCAACCACCCGGTTTTGTTGCTCAGGGGGAGCACGGGAAAGTCTGTCATTTAAAGAAGTCCTTGTATGGCTTGAAGCAGAGTCCACTAGCTTGGTTTGGCAAGTTCAGTTAGGTAGTTCAGGAGTTTGGGCTGAAAATGAGTAAGTGTGATCACTCGGTCTTCTATCGGAAATCAGTAGTTGGCACTATTCTCCTTGTTGTATATGTTGATGATATTGTTATCACAGGAAACGACTATGCCGGAATTTCTTCCCTCAAGTCTTTTCTACATGCTAGGTTTCATACAAAGGACTTGGGCCAGTTGAAATACTTTTTGGGAGTAGAAGTAAATAGAAGCAAGAAGGGAATTCTTTTGTCTCAGAGAAAGTACGTTCTTGACTTGCTTGCAAAAACTGGAAAGTTGGCAGCTAAACTTTTCAGTACTCCAATGGTTCCTACTGTGCATCTTATGAAAGATGATTGTGATCCTTTTGACGATCCAGAGAGATACAGGAGGTTAGTTGGGAAATTAAACTACCTCACCGTGACTCATCCAGATATTGCTTTTGCGGTAAGTGTTGTTACATGTCTACACCAACGGTCAAGCATTGGATAGCTTTGGAACAGATGTTGTGTTACTTGAAAGGAGCTCATGGACTTGGCATATTATATAGCAATCACAATCATACTCGTATTGAGTGTTTTGCAGATGTTGACTGGGCTGGATCCAAAATTGATAGAAGATCTACTACATGTTATTGTGTCTTTGTTGGAGGAAACCTTGTATCATGGAGGAGTAAGAAGCAAAGTGAATCTCGATCCAGTGCAAAATCCGAGTATAGAGCTATGTCACAGTCTACGTGTGAGATTATGTGGATACATCATCTTTTGACTGAAATTGGGTTGGAGCATCCAATACTAGCAAAACTCTGGTGTGACAATCAAGTTGCCCTCCATGTTGCGTCAAATCCGGTGTATCATGAAGGAACTAAGCATATTGAGGTTGACTGCCATTTTATTAGTGAGAAGATTCAGGAGAGCTTGATCTCCACTGGCTACGTGAAGACAGGAGAGCAACCAGCTGATTTGTACACAAAGGCATTGAATGGAATTCGAGTTGATTACTTTTGTAACAAACTGGGCATGATCAATATCTATGCTCTAGCTTGAAGGGGAGTGTTAGATAATGAATGTAGACATAATCTTATGCAATATACATAGCTAGCATAATTATAGGGATTCACAGCAGATTTATAGGATTTCCTTTTTTATTCTTTCCATAGTTAGGGCTCTATGTACTTGTATATATACTTGTTACTTCTTGAATACAAGATAAGAGAGATTGGTCTATGTTCTATGTACTTTATAGTTTACACTCATCAAAGTGGGAAGCGGAATTGGCAAGTGGAAGAAAATTGAATTTAGAAGACTCATTGAGGCAGTTCTTCCAATAATACAGGACCGAAGAGGTCATTTTCTGAACTGCATCCAGCTTCTCAACCCAAAGACTTAATGAAGATTTGAGGATGACAGTGACCAAGGTTGATTGGAATACCTTTGTCAGTGTAAACAACATAAAAATCTATTTAGCTCCATTCTATGAATTTATGTAGGATCAGAATGCTACTAAGACTTCTGAAATAAGGAATCCCCACTTAATTAAATCTCCTACTCTGTGATACTACTACCGAACAGCCGCTCGTTTAGAGGGCAGTCCAAAACTGCTTGATGAGAACATGGATTGGTGCAGATGGCTTACTCAGTTGCCATAGCTGATCCAAGATAGTCAGTTGTTCAATTGACAAAAGTGTGTAGTGAAATGGGATTAGCTACTAGTCTGCATTTTGTTCAGAAAGTAAGAACAGATCCTTTCACAATAAGCAAATCCCTTTGAAGTGTTTGTGTAGGACAATATTCACTACTCTGCTTAGGGATTTCTAGGTGTATGGCATGTGCCATGATTGAAATGCCATTGGGAACTTAGTTAGCTTGGGGATATTTTGAGTAGATTGTCATGTTCCTCCTACTGTATGCCCCTTGTAACTTTGTAATGCTACATTTTATCTATTCTTGAAGCAATTATACTATACTTAAAAAGAAAAAGATCTATGTATAGGTGTATATGATAAAACAGAAATGTGTTTCTCAAAGTCAGTATGACCACATGAATAAATTTGAAAACCATATATTGAAGTAAAAATGCAGACAAGTTTACGTGACTAAAACCAAAGTTGTGCATGCTTGTGATGATTATATGTAATTGACTTGTTGAGACTGACTATAGAAGCGTCTGCATGGTGCCAGCTGATATTGCTTTCGACATTGGTAGGCAAGCGCTCAACTGTCTTCTCAAAAGATTGCTTGGACTCTTTATTAACCTCAACACATTTAACTGACCTGAGAAGAAACGTAAATTTAAAGAGGAAAGCTCAGACATGTTATCTTCAGACAAGTTATCAGATATATTTTTTTTTTTGATAAGGTAAAATTTTACTAATAGAAGTACCAAAATGGTACAGAAGCTTACAATCCAGCTGGATTACAAAAAGAACTTCTACATATCAACTAATTCCAAATCCCCTAAATCCATATCACCTAACTCCTCTACAAAGTTAATTGTTCCAGATTTTCCGAAATAGTTCTTTTACACCAAAAATACAAATTTAGCAGACAACTATTTTTAGTTCTGGAGATATTCTGTTTTCTCCCTTCAAAACAGGCCCTATTCCTTTCTAGCCATATAATCCATACCACACATAAAGGAATTGTCCTCCATACAGAAAGTTATCAGATTTAAGTTTGCTATAGACGTGTTAAAATTAGTCCTAGAAGATGTGAGAGGGTATT